GAATTAATTAAATAACTACTATAAGTATTTCTTTCTTTCTTTATTTATCTACTGCTCAACAATGTCGTTTATCGTAATGACCCTCGTCATTACCATTATTAACCCTTCGCCCTCGAAACTTTCTCACTAGAAGCATCCAACGTTCTCCGACGAGATATAAACATTCGTCGAAAGTACTAACTAGAATGCTTAAATTCAAAGACAAAGCTGTTTTATCTAAATATTTCACGTATCGATGCGTTATACAAACCTTAATACTATTTATCAGACTTTCTAATTTCCCTGTGCCAGATAAAAATCAAGCGAATTCATTGATACAGCGAAGATACTCGTGTTGACGATCCTAGACACTTCCCTAATCATTCTTCAGTCATTGCTCGTGATTGGCAGCGAAAGGGTCAAACGATCGAACGCTCGCGCCGCATGCGATCCACGACGGACCCGTCCTGGTGGTTCCCCGCCCCGACGGATACGACACCCGAATTATAACATCGTCTTGTTTCGCGAACGGAGCGAGCGAGACAGTCGTTCCGCTCGCTGTGCCGTTGAACCCGGGGACCATTAACGCGTCCAGCGAGATGGACAAAGCGAGCCACACCGCGGAGCTGAGGAGGAGGAACGGGACAACGCGGAAAAATGGGAGGGCTCGTGCACGGCGAGAGGGACACCGCGAAGGACAGAGGCCTCAGGCTACGCGAGAGGTGGAGAAGAGGACAATGCTGTGAATAACATCGGATGATGCTCGAAAAATCGAGCCTTTGCACGAGGACATTTCTAGTGGGGCTATGATGGAAGAGGGAGGGTTGAACCCTTTGGATTTGAGAGGTGACTTTTAGCCAGAATTGATCACCAGTTGATTCAATATAGCAAAATTCTGAAGTACTATATGTAACGAAAGTCAGAATTCTAATTCTATAGCAAAATTCTGAAGTACTATATGTAACAAAAGTCAGAATTCTAATTCTATAGCAAAATTCTAAAGTACTATATGTAACAAAAATAAAAATTCTAATTCTACAGCAAAATTCTGAGGTACTATATGTAACAAAAGTCAGAATTCTAATTCTATAGCAAAATTCTGAGGTACTATATGTAACAAAAGTCAGAATTCTAATTCTATAGCAAAATTCTAAAGTACTATATGTAACAAAAGTCAGAATTCTAATTCTATAGCAAAATTCTGAGGTACTATATGTAACAAAAGTCAGAATTCTAATGTTACATATAGTACTGTAGAATTTTGTTATATTGGATTAACTGGTAATTCTGACTACAAGTCACTTGTCACAATTTGTGTGTGATTTCTCCGTGAATAAAAATTATGAAGTACTATATGTAACATTATAATTTTTATTCGCGGAGAAATCACAGAAAAATTAAAGAACAATGCTATTTCATTTTAATAATTATTATACCGATATGAGGCTTAATATTAAATAACAAACTTTATAATTTTACTATGTCAAATCGTGTGGCCGAAAATCATCTCTCGAGTGCGAAGGGTTAAAGTACTAAGTACTTTGCACCCGAGAGGCGATTTGATATAGCAGAATTATAAAGTTCTCATGTGACCGGTTTTATATTACTTTTAATATTTTGCTTTTGCAACATTCTGTATCGTCCTGCGTTTCATAAATTGATGTAGCCAATGCAAGTGCAAACACGAGTTGACTCGTGACCGGTCAATTGTGTGTTAACTGAGAACGAGTTTTGTTTCATTTTTGACACTTGTCTGTAAAGGTTGCTGTAAGATTTTGAGAGGTTCAATTAAAATCTCCGAGCGTCGCCGTCGAATCGCCGTCGAACGGCATCGAATTACGATGAGGTCGATCTTCATCGGAGTCAATTGATATGATCTACATTCGCGGATGGATCACGTGAACGATCTATGTCGCGCCCGTTATCAGGCCGTAAGGTCGTCACACGCAAACGCGCCAGGCGCCTGGATCACGTCCGGCTATGCAAATAATAATAACTTTTGTAATGGTAATAATAATTTATAATAGTATTGTCAGTATTATAATATTGTAATATTATAAATAGTAATACTGTAATATTATAATATTATAATATTACCAACAGTAATATTGTAACATTATAATATTACCAACAGTAATATTGTAACATTATAATATTACAATATTAAAAATGTTCAATATTATAATATAAATTTCCAATATTGCGAGGCCAGAATATTACAATACAAATGTCTAATACTATAACATTATAACAGTGCAACATTGCAAATACTAATATTATGCAGTAGCATTTAGTTGCAATTAGAATGACCAATTATCCATTATTAACAGGAAAAATGCGACCTACGGTTAGCAGTAAAAACAGTTGCAAAGTTAGTTACAATTCCAATTAAAATCATCACTGAATCGATGCGATTCATTTTTCCCCAATGCTGTTCGATGGATTCCCATCGCCGATCATCGGTTCTGAATTCGCGAATGGTATCGCGCTCGAATTGCGAAACTTTCCCGGGGAACCACCGCACCGACGTGACTCACGTGAAGACGGCGAGCATCCATCGCAGATTTATGGTCATTATTACCACGCTATACACGAACGTGAAAAACGATTGTGGCGGACGTTAGACACGCCGTTACCGTTTAACACGTTGACCTCCACGTGACGAATTCGCTTTGCATGCGTTATTTACGCGGAATTCGAGCTATTTTTTATCTCTACGCTCGATTTACTTCCTTTTTTATGACTCCTCCATCCTTCTCTTTTCCTTAGCTTTTACTTCGTACCATTTTCATGGAAATTGCCTGCGACTTGCTTGTTCGTAATGGCGAACCGTATCCGGTCGATTGTCCCAAGAATTCATCATAATTTGTTGTAATTTCATTTTCATTCGTTAGCAATTCGCAACTGTTGACTGAAATTGCGATGACAGAATTTTCTATATAAATTGTTGGATTTTATTTGATTTATTAACGCATTCACCGTCAACTCGAATTGGAATAATGGAGATGATCACGTTTTCATTTTCGTAGGAGCTTTCTGTTCGTTTAATTATCTCCAGTTCTGTTAAAGGTACTTTCAATTTATTATTACACCGTGTTCTCCTCTTTTGATGATATTTCAATTTTGTGAACGAACGGAACACTGAAATATATTATTCTTTAAATTCTGCTTTCGATCAGAAGAGAAAAGCTATTTTCGTCGAACTTCTCAGAAACGAAATTGCTCGCGGGATAGAAATGGTTGATGTATAGGAACGTTAACACATCGTCAACGGTTAAACGCTGGTTAACGCGGCGCTTCCCGGATTGTAAAGTTTCCAGTTCATCTAAATAGCAATTACCGCGGATATGCTGCTCGACGATACTGTACAGCATATATTACCCGCAAATTGCTGGCTGATTATCGTTGCTCGGTTTAATCGCCGCCGAGACGCCCGTTAATCTTTTCCCTCGTCGCGTTCGATTGTTCCGTCTTAATTAAAATCGGCTGGTTAATTAATCCGATCCGCGGCGTTCACTTTAAATCTCGTTACGCCGAACGCTGCACCGGAAAGTCGCGAGGAGCACGTGGAAAATGATCGCGTGCACGCGATACCGGATCGTTAAAGATTAGAGATGTTTGCGGGTGAATCGGTATATTGAAAGATCGTGCAGTTTTTGAGAAATATCGGCGTTTCAATTTGGAAATCGTACTTTCTCTTTCCAGGGAATTTAGGTGTTTAATTGTGGCCTTTGCAGAATTATGGTATCTAAAAATGTTAATTTTGAAATATTTAATATTTCAAGATGGTAATTTTGGAATGTTTAATATCTCAGGGTATTAACTTTGAAATATTTAATATCTCAAGATGTTATCTTTGACGTATTTATTATCTCAAGATAGTAATTTTGAAATGACTTTGAACTAGTAACTTTGAAGTATTTCGTATCTCAAGATAGCAATTTTCAAGTATTTCATATCTCAAGATAGTAATTTTCAAATATTTCATATCTCAAGATGTTCGTTTTCAAATATTTCATATCTCAAGATGTTCAGTTTCAAATATTTAGTATCTCAAGATATTAACTCTGAAATATTTCATATTTTAAGATGTTCTCTTTGAAACATTCAATGTCGCAAAATATTAATCTTAAAATATTGTATATCTCCGAACCAATTTGAAATACAACAATTAATTTATCATTTGCACTTTTCACCGATACCATAGAGCGAGTCCTCAAAATGAGTCCTCGTTCACTCCATTTTCTTTCTCTCTCGAATATTTCCAAGACCGGTAGGACTGTCTCCAAACACACGTTTCAAAGAAGATGGTCCAAGGATCAAGATAGAATGTTTTTTTTTGTCGAAGCGTTACGACACCTTAAAAGACCGGCGACTAAAGGAAGTCTTAAGGACTCAGTGCGTCATCATGTTCGCGCCACTCCGCTGTTATCAGACAAAAGCGTGTCCAGTCGGCCGATTAACAGTCTGTCCGCGTGTATTCACATATTGTTCCGACGAAAAGTGACCGCAAGGTCGACGGAGGCGATACACGTGAACGCCGATGCACCTGGAATATTAAAAAGTCGCGCGTGATGGGAACACTTCCACGTTCTGGTAAACTTCGATCGCTGTATCGACCAGCTAGACGTTCGAGAAAGTCTGGATCAACGGGGACAGTCTAATTTTATCGGAAATCATCTTTGCATTGCCTATTAATTACTTTTGCAGCCTATTAATTACTGGCGTCATCACAACATTTATGATGCAATAATTTATCTGAAATCACCTTTGCATTGTCTATTAATTACTTTCGCAGCCTCTCAGTCTGTTATACTGTAATCTATCAATTACTGGCATCGTCGCAATGTTTAAGATACAATAATTTTCAGAATATTATTATAATTATATTGAATTATATTAATTAATGTTTAGGATATAATAATTTTTAGGATACTAAAGTTTGACAACCAATGAAGTTACACTTTCATATTCGAATGCTAAGTTCACGATGCTCAAAGGGTTAATCGCTTCTGTTCCAGGTGCCTATGAACGAAACGGAGTTTAATATCCTCTGGATGGGGAACCACCCTAAACCGGACATTCTGCGGAACCTAATGGCGCATCAGAAAGTCAACCACTTCCCTAGGTACTCAGACACAACACGCACCCTAAGAAAAATGCAAGCTGGTGTCCCAGATTTGAAACTCTCTTAATGATCTACTTCTACTTTTGTAAAGAAACAAATGTCTTCTAATTGCCAAATACCAACTTGGTCGAATCATGGACTCTACGTTCTGTTTAAAATGATTCTCGTGGCAGTCGATGTGTTAAATTTTCATTACTTCCGTTCTCAGAGATGAATCTAACACGCTGTTCCCATCGCAGGTCGTACGAGATCACGAGGAAGGACCGTCTGTACAAGAACATCGAGGCGATGCAACGTAGCAAAGGTCTCAGAAATCTGGACTTCATACCGCAAACGTTCCTGCTGCCCAGCGAGTCCCGGGAACTGCTCACTGCGCATTTCAGGTATCGCGGGCCCTGGATTGTCAAACCGAAAGCCAGTTCCCGCGGGCGTGGCATTTATATCGTTAACAGTGTGAGCATAAGAATTTCTAGGTATAAGTTTAGAGTACGTGGGCCTGTGACTTTGGAGCTACTACTTTTACCCGAGTACCTGAGTAGAGTAAAATTACCTAATGGAATCACCTGTCTTCAAATCCTCTATCTGGCTACTGCATCTGACTACTCGACCTACTGAGTCGTTCAATTACTCGGGTATTCGGGTACTGGAACGGTACCCTAGTACCTGAGTAGAGCAAAATTGCCCAATGGAATTAGCTGATCTCTAGAGATCCTCTAACTGGCTACTGCATCTGACTATCCGACCCACTGAGTCACTCGGTTACTCGAGTATTCAGGTACTGGCACGGTACCCGAATATGCGAAAAGTTCCTTAGTACATTTTACCGAAGCACTCTGTATTACCCTGGATCGGGTAGCAATAGCTGTAGTAGTCAGTTACAAAACCTTATGAGATGCTCGGGTACCCGGGTACTCGGCTGACTCATGAGACAGGTAATGTTACTCTACTCGGGTATTTCATAAGTCACAGCTCTACTATGCACCTATGTAATTTTACTCTACCCGGGTATTTCATAAGTAACAGCTCTACTACGCACCACATGCTTCTGTCCTCCACGCATCGCCAGCGAGGCTGGCCCGTTCCCGCCTGCCTCTGTGACACCGTTCATCGTGTTCTAGTTGCTCCTCGCCGCTTCGTTCGCGTTTCCGTACACGTTCGAATGTGAAAGTCGACGATTAGATGCATCGATATCTCGGTGATTCACTACCTTTTTCGGCTGCATTCGTCACCGGCCGCTGAAGAAATTTCTGTTACCGTTTCTTGGATCTCAACAAACGTTGCCACCGCCTCTTAAGTTCAATCCTTACTCCACCGAACTCGAACACAATGAATCCATGGCTATTCTGTTTAACCGTTCTCCTTGTGGCTTCCGACTTGGCTCGCCGTGGATACTCACGAGCTCCACTGTTCATCGATCGCTACCATAGTTTCATTCTGATCGATACAAATTTTATATACTTCAGGTGCGTCTCGTGAGATCCAAATAACGAGAGATTCGCTTCTTTAATTGACACTGAAACCACCTAGCAATTGTAGGGAATTGTTTACAACTTTTCTCTATCGAAACTAGAAGAGCGCGCTCAGTGAGATTCGAAGAGAAGGTAGAATGAAATTGTAAATAAAATCGTGGAATAGAAATTCTGAAGTGGCTCGTTTTATACATAGTCTGGTAGTTCTAGTGTTGAAAACAGTTAAGTGTCTAGCAGCTTCTAACTGATGACATCGAATCCTTTGCTTCCAGCCAGAGAAGATCCTCACGGACGAGTCGGTGATCGTCGCACAATACATAAACAATCCTCTGCTCGTCGACGGGCATAAATGCGATCTACGGTTGTACGTTGCGGTGACGAATTATGATCCGCTGTTGATATACCTGTACGAGGAGGGCCTGGTCAGGTTCGCCACGGTGAAATACGACGGCGGCAATCAGTACGTCTGGAATCCCTGCATGCATCTGTGCAATTACAGCATCAATAAATTCCACGTGGATTACGTGAAGTGAGAATTGTTCCCTCGTGTAGTTTATACATGTGTATATATGTATATATGTATAAAGAGAGAAAGAGAGAGGTAGCGTACATCTCACTGACTGTTCGATTATTTTCAATTGTCTAGAAGCGAGGATCCAGACGCAGAGGATGTAGGCCATAAATGGACACTGTCAGCTTTGCTCAGACACCTGCGCTCCATCGGACAAGACACGGAGTTGCTGATGCAACGCATCGAAGATATTATAATTAAATCAATCCTTGCGACCGCCTCCGGCATCGTCAGCGGCATTAAACAATTTGTTAAGCACCCGGAGACTTGCTTCGGTAATTATCTTTAACTTAGATTGTCTGGGAAACCCGAAGTCCCTAACGGTTGTAGAAATTGTTAGGGCCTATTGGTCGATTTAGATATTACTCCATACTGTCCGGGTCGTCGCGTACCTTTAACACTAGAATTAAGAAGTCAAATTGGGTTTTTGACAATTTTTTATAGACTCCAATAATGTCGAGATTTCAATTGAAAGTCGAATAGTACCTGATTAGACGTTGACATACTCGACGATTGGTTCCAGAGCTATTCGGTTTCGATATTTTAATCGACGACACGCTAAAACCGTGGCTGTTGGAGGTAAATCTGACACCGTCGTTAGGATGTGATTCGCCGCTGGACGTCAGACTGAAGTCAGCGTTAATTGCTGATCTGCTTACCCTGGTCGGCGTGCCAGCGGTGGATCCAGTGTCGCGGCCGCAAACCACGCACCTAAACCGATCGACAGTCATCACTACTAAGAGGACAGCTAGCGTAAGCGATTTCTTGTAGTTTTCTTTCACAGCGATCGGTGCACGATAGTGACTTGTCTTTTTGTATAGTGTAGAAGAGTACATTCGGCGGAGACGTTGTCGCAAAGGAAGAAAAACGTTAGCAAAAGTAACATCAACAAGTCGGGATTGACTACTGAGCAGCAGCGTATAGTGGCGTCGGCGAAAGCACAGTTTGAAAGAAGGGGAGGGTTCGTTCGAATATTCCCCAGTCCTAAGTCGTGGGAGATGTACTCGCAATATCTGGGTAAATCGAATGTCATTCTGCCGTTTGTTATCGTATACTATACTTGATTAGATTTCACAAAGAATATTACTTTATGTGTAGATCCAGCGACGGGGATACCGGTGGTCTCAGATCCATTAGGACCCGGCAGAGCCCAGCACATCAACACGAATCACAATCTTATGTTACACGAACAATTATTCCCCGCGGCTAGTCGTACGACCGGTTTCATCATTCCTGAAGTCACACTGGACAGACTCTCCAGGTACTTAAGTTAAAACATTGGCAGGTTCATAAATTCTCCTCGAGTGTGGTACAAGATTTGTGTAATTCACCGTAGATACGAAAGGTACGAGAGAGCATTGGTGAAAGGGCATAAGCAGAGCTTAGATCGTGGCGACAGTAAGGAAAATATGGATATTGATAAGCATAAATATAAAAGTCAAGTGGTACAAGCCATGCACGACGGAAATAAACTTAGGTAAGGCGTTGTTAAGCGTTTAAAGGAATAAAAGTATTGAAGAATGTTACAAATGTTTCTGAACGAATACGAAGACACGTTTATTATGTAATTCTACCGTTTTAGTCCCGGAGAAGCTAGAAAAGCCTTTGGTTTATATTTGGGACATATATTGCGCAAGATATCACAGCCTAACGCGGATCCAGCGTGTTGCGATCTCGTGATGAAATTTCTTCAGCAGTCGGCTAGTAATTTAAGAACGCCTTTCTTCTTTGCGGTAAGTTGTACGAATATCGTTTCTCGTGCAATAGTATTTTCTGATTTCATTATTTTCACGTGCAGTTACCGAGCAGTAAACTCAGCGACAAGGATCGCGCCGCAATAACCGCTAAACAACTATCTGATTTTTTACATCTGTACAATCGGGATACGGATCTTTACGCGGACACCGTAGACCGTCCTCGTACCGTTCCGAATCGGCTGTTTCAGAAATTTCTAGCTTCTGCAAGGTAAATTCACATCTGAATTTTTTTTCTACGTTCCATTCCACGTCGTATCTTTTTCATTTAAAAATTTCATTCGTGAACAGCGAGGAAGATTTGGATGACATATTGATCCTTCAAACGAGGTTGTACAAATGTGCTCATAGCTTCCTGGGCAGAAGCGGATTCGCAGGTAGCCTACCAGGTCCTAACTTATTAGGCTCTCTGCCACACATCACATCACGTGTGTTCTCGAATGCTGCTAATAGCGAGCAATGTAAATGCAATCAGTCCATTACAAGGCCTACGAAAGCGTCGTGTACATAGTTGCGCAGTATGTGGATACACTGTTCTAGCCGCTACATTTGTTGGTTAAGGTATTTAAGTACGGCTGCCTAGGACTTCTTTCCAGTACCGGTGGACAATCATCCACGCGTAACCGTAACGTTTCCCATTCGAATATTGCACAGAAAATACCGTCACAGAACTAATATTTTGGGTACGCTTTGAAAGCGCTTTAATATATTCGCTTGTATTTATTAAGCTAGAAAAAGTTCATTACACGATACTTCCAACGAATAATATCGAGCCTTCTTGATGCAAGTTTACATCACGGTTTTAATCTTGGAAGCTAGTCTTCAGCATCAAAGATTCGTCGAAGCTAGATAGAAGTAGTCTGATGGTAGAAGTGACTTGGGTTTGGGTTTCTCGAGTTTTATCGTACGAAACAGGTGGCCAATTAAAATTGAAACATTCGTAGGGTAAAGCAAGATATTTTAAAAAGTGAACGTATCAATTACTAAAGTTTAACGAAGACGTATTGTATCGGCATACTTGACGGTGATTAATTTTAATTCTTAGAACTTAATGATTATATTTTATCGAGTCTTCTTAGTTGTTTCTTATTTTTTTTTTTAACAA